AATGACACATATCCTCAGGTTCTTATATTTCCAGATACCTATAATATACATCCACATGTATATTATATATGTAATACAGTATATTATGTATTGTACATCCACATGTATATTTCTATCATATATATCCACATCGTAAAATACCGATATCCCAAAATTTCTACATACCGAAATATACGATCTCCTCAGATCCCCACGTTCTCAAATACCTATATCTTCAAATTTCTATATTTGCAAGTGCACTCTTAGATTTCTTTATACGCCGATCCCTATATTACCTGACCTACAAATTTCCCGATTATGATGTCTCTCTATTCCCAACTGCTCCAGAACCGTATATCATTAAGTATATATTTCCCCAAATTTCTGAACCTTGAGATCCCTATATCCTTATATTGCTACATCACTAATTATGATAACGTTCAAAATCCAGTAATGTATCGATATGAAAAATGCTTTAAATACACAACACAAAGTAATTGAAATGAAGTTCTAATTACTTTGGTCACGAAGGTATAGTCAATCATAGATTATGTAAGCATACAATGGTACTTTACAATGTATGCATTTCTAGACCTTACAATGTGTATATTTCTAGATTATTATAAACGACGGTACTAATATAAAATGACACACGAAAGCATTGGAATACGTTTAGTAATATATTAATAGGTTTGAAAGAGTAACTATAATCATAGATTATACAAAAGAAGAAAGAAATTAATAAGACTAGTGGAATGAGGGCATTTTGGAAGCCATTATGGCGTGCCAAGTTTGCGATACGTGAGAACACACAAGGAGCTAATGTATGCAAATTGTTCGTAGAAGAAGTACAGCGCCATTGCTGTCAACATTGTATAGAACGGGATTGACAGTATAACCCTAGCAAATAACGATTATTTATCACTTACTAGGATGTGTGACGTAAAATATTACCAGTCGACAGCGTTTACGGAGAGATTAAAAGCTCGTTTCATATTCCAAGGAAAATGCGTGCGTTACACGTACGTGTGCTGCGAACAATGGTCAGTTTTAATTACTCCCTCGACACTTGGCGAAGAAATACTGGTACTTAATTTATACCACTATGGAATGGCAAGGAATAATTTACTTAAGTTTCTTTTTACAGCATTCTTTAATTTTGTGAAATATTTACATAGATTATTTTACTTGGATAATGAAGGAATGACTAGAATAAATTATAGGTTGTGATAATGTAAATATCAATTTTAATATTAATCTGAAATATTAATTTATTATTATTAATTTTAATTCAAATGCAAAACAGTTCAATATTTAATAAAATAATTTAATAGTGATATGCATATTATTTAGTAATAACGCTATACTTATAGTATATTATACTAATTCTTTTTTGTACTTTGATATTACATTGATTGTAACTCATTAATATAACTAGGACCTTTGAGGGAACTATCCATAGATCTCCGCGAGCTGTATAGTCATATATTACATTACGACGTATTAGATCGTCCCGAGTTAGATTACCATGTAATATGTGATCACGTTTTCACGTTATATCGCCACAGTTAGATCAGATAATTCTACATTCTGGCGGAGGGCGTCTACCCGATTACATCAATACTGAAGCATTAGCAATTGCGCTACTTCTCGTTGAAAATTTACAACGAATGCCAAAGCGACTGACAATATTGTGAAGCGATTAGATATACATAAAATTGTTTAGAAAAAAAAATTATGACTTCTCCGTTCTCATATATTCCAAGTATGTCAATAATGCCAATGAGTGTGTCACATATGTGGTACCCATGTCAATGAGTATATTGTATTTGTGACAAAAATATGTCACACATTTCATACTTGTGACAATGATTGTGTCACGTAGGTAATATTTATGAAATTGAGTATGTTACATATGTTATACATATGACAATGAATGTGTTACATGTGTTATATTTATAATAATTCATATGCTAGCTAGATCGTACTTATATCGTAATGAATATGTCACGTATGATGTTCTGCTTATGACACTGAATGTGTTACATAGATATGTAATATCTATGATGATGAATATATTGCAACCATGACAATGAACATATCATATATGTCCTACTCATGATAATGACTATATGGTACTCGTGACACTATGTGAATGTGTCACATGGGTTATACTTATGACTCTAAATGTGTTACGCAGGTCGTACTTGTAATACTGAATGTGTCACATAAGTTCTACATATGATACTGAATGTGTCACATATGTGATATCTATGACGATGAATATATTATAACCATGACAATGAACATATCACATATGTATATCATACTCGTAATAACTTTATTGTATTTGTGACACTATATGAATGTGTCACATAGGTTATACATAGGGCACTAAATGTGTTATGTACCTATAATACTGAATGTGTCATATAGTTCTACTTATGATAGAGAATATGTCACATATGTGATACCTTTGACGATGAATATATTGTAACCATGATAATGAACATATCACATATGTATATCATACTCATAATAACTATATTGTATTTGTGACACTATATGAATGTGTCACATAGGTTATACATAGGGCACTAAATGTGTTATGTACTTATAATACTGAATGTGTCACATAGTTCTACTTATGACAGTGAATATGTCACATATGTGATACCTATGATACTGAATATATTATACTTGTGACAATGAATAATGTATCACAGGACCTACTTATTGCAACGAATATTTCATGCTCATGATAACGAATATAAATGTATGTACTTCAGCGACATATCAGTACAGAATGTAATTGGTGTTTTGTAAATTGTGGACGATCGTTCTAATGAATTGAAGACGGTTAAACTATCGGTATTGGAAGGAAACGCCAGTAGGTTATTCCGCAAGCAGTCTGGGCCAGTGAAGGATTGAAAAGGAGTGGCACTAGGGAATGATTCGAACACTGGCCAGTCGCATATATAGCCGGCGAAGATTAGCATAAGACTGCACGCAAGGCTGACGTTCATGAATACGATAAGGGAGTAGGTGCCCGTTTCCTCGGCTACCTTACCGTTCAACCTACAAGCGATGGTGCGTACGACTTTTGACTCGCTCATTTTCCGTCCAATAAAACCTCCACCCTCATCGCAGGTCTTAGAATTTCACGTTTGAAAGGTAAACCAAGTAGAATTGCGTTATTAATATATTCCAGATGGCACGATAGATCGAGTTACGGGCGGCATTTAGAAATATTAATCATATTTTTTGGTATGTCATGTGGTGACAGTATCAGGTGGTTCAAATGACAGGTGGTTTAAATTTGGTTTATCATTTTTATTCCAAGATGTATTGTCAAGTATCAATATACATTAAATAGTTGCAACTATTCTGTGTAACTTACTGTGTAACTTACTATGTAACTTACTGTGTCTACTGTGTTTGTACTTCCAAACAAAACTTTGCTTTGAAGCGATTGATGTCAATGTATAATAAAAATATCGTTTCTTGTTTTGTTTTATCTTTTCTGTAAAATTTATAATGGCAGAAAATGTCCTGTGTTTGACACGTTTGTTATTGCTGGATTTTAATTATATAACCGAGGAAGGGTTTTTGAAAGTAAATTCAACTCATTTAATTGACGATGTAATGTTTTCACGTGTATGTAATATATGCCTGCTTTTATGTCTAATAACAGTCTTGTTGCATCAAATGATACAAGAAATGATAAAAATAGTATTTATTTTAGAGAACAGGCAAAAGACAAAAAACAAGTGTCACACAAAACATAAAGATAACACAGTCACATAAAAACAAGTGGTTGTAACAGTATCACGAGTAGTTATGATACACAGAACTTATCTCGCATTTGCGTCCTCTGTTCGTGACCGAAGTGGGTTATGCCGTGAAATACCTTCGATTTCATAATTACCTATGTACATTATCAACTTCAATTCCGAATTCTCCGACATAAAACAGCAAAACTTCGTTGAGAGTACGCATTTCTGTAGGGCACTCGTGCAGCGATTAAGATTTAGTTTTTTCGAGGGTTAATTGAAGAATAGCGTGTTGGACGAAATAAATGTTAAATATAAAACCCTGTCATTAACCCACGCGAACATTAACAATGGCGGAAAGGATTGGAAGTGTGACTGAACCATCGAGGTCACCTTTACGTACGTCTAATTTGCATTTATACAATGGATTCTTCTTTTACTGGTATTTCGTGTCGCGATTAAATCTGCACGAATCACCCTCGGGGTGATAATCTTCGTGCAGATAGGAATCTGATAAAAGAATACACCAAGGGAGTTTCTTGCTTGATATGTAACTAAACGTGATTCAACGAACAAATCTGGGATCGCTATTTTGATTGTATTCGAGTTAAGACTTCATTTAGGTTAAGTGCCATCGCACTTTAATCTAATGCGACCCGATTATGGCTGGACGATGGAAATATCGTTTTTGGGGTTGAATTTTGTCCTTGCTTAAATTTCGCTTTCAAATTTATCGAGTGTCGAGTGTTATCAGAGTTTCATGTTTATCATTTTGTATGTTTTTAGATGACAAATTTTTTACAGTCAGTAAATTGTTTAAGGAATATTAGGTAATGTATAGTGAATTATATAGATTACATAAAATTTTATATTTTGTGGAATGCATTCTCATAGTATTTACAAGTGAATAGAATTGAAAAAGCTCAAATCTATAATATCTAAAGAATACAAAATGGTACGTTTATTAAAATTAATAAATAACATAAATATATCATTGCACCAACTTTTTTATTCTTTAATCATATAGGTGTATAAAAGTCTTTGAATACGATATTAATTGGTGTGCAGAGATCATTGATAAGTTTATTTTTACATAAAATAAACATGAACTTCAACTGACGTGAAAATAAAGGATACTAAAAAATGACATTCGGTTTATCTTACAACATGATGTTGTCATGTTGTTAAACATGATAAAAATAATGCAATAAAGAATCTGATAATGTAAAGTTTCGATGCAGTATTATAAAATAAATATTAAATACATTCTATACTTTGTACGACATAAGACTATTTATGTACATTTATAATTCTAAATTTACATTTCACTTATGAATCTATGGATGATAATAATTAAGCTATATTCGAAGTTTTACCGGTCGTTGTTCGATTACAGCTCAGTCGTTTCGATTTTCTTGCCAAGAGGATTCACAATCGTGTTCTGTGTTCTATAAATGGACGAATTTCGGTGAAAATCGTTTGGAATTGTTACACTTTCCGAGCTGGAAGGAAAATTTTATTGTTATTAATGATGGAGTGGCAAATTAATTAATTGTAAAATCACAATTTCAATTGCAAACATCAATTTCTTAGTAATGATAATTGTAACAAGTCATGAAAAGTTATTTATATGGACACTTGTGAGAAAGCTGCAACTTTTAGGTTATATTTAACGCAGCAGATACAATATGACGACTGTCGTGCCAAAAAGATTAATTTTATCGTAGTATTCACACGTTATATGAAATCTGAATTGAAATTTGAAAAATATAGAGTAATGTTTTGATGTGAAGATACAATATAATAAAATGTAATTTTAAACAAAGATAATTGTTATAGACAGAATTACTTTACTGGCTGAATTTAAACTAGTAAATGTTTTAATAAATTATTAAAAGATAACGTGATCTTTTAAAATTCTTTTAAATAACATTGTAAATTTTACAATTATACATATGAATTAGTAGTTACGTCTACATGTGAATTTCTATCATTTCATTTTACTTCAATTTCCTCTAATTTACTATATACCTGTTAATTATTTCGCTACATTTTATTATACATACATTCACCTTAATTATATTTTATTGTAGATCTACCAACAAACATTTACCTTGAAATGGAAGTAGTTCTTGGCTCAATATAATACGGCTTATCTTCATTTCTTTGGTCTGTGTTAGCTTCGTTCATCATTTCTTCGTTGTTCAAAGCATTTTCGTCAAGAGAATCTCTTTCAGAAGTATGACTAATAGATTCATCACTTTTGAACCACTCATTTTCGTAAGCATGCATCCATATAGGGTTCGAACCTTCCACACTATGCTTATTCGTGTTAGGAACTCGTCCAGGTCCCCTAATAAATTCTGCATCCGACGTACCTTAAAAAACATGATCACCTTAATTTCCAATTTAACTTTTCAAGATTTCTAAAATTACAATCTCACTCTAAAGCAAAGAAGTTTATTGATAATAAACAAGATTGAACAAATCTGTCACATCATTATTTATAATTGTGATCCATCATATCATTCATTATATTCGTAACTGCTTACTGCTATTAATAGTAGTTATAATGTGTCACGTCGTTAATCACATTTGTAATCTGCCACATCATTTATTATGATCTGGCATATTATAATCGTAATACTGACCCAAATGTGGTGAAACAGTTATGAAATACGTGAACAAGTTTCTAAATCAAATCTGTATTCAAGAGTTGCACTCAAGTTTATATTCGCTTAGAGAAAGATTATGGTAGCGATGGCAACGAGCTGGCGCGTGGGACTTAAAATAATTTAGTTCCAAGACATCTTTGATATTTTCATATATGTAAATTTCTATATCTTCGAATACCTACATTTTCAAGTCCCTACATTTCCAAATCTCTATATTCCCGAATTTCTATACTTCCAAATTCCAAAACTCCCGAATTCTTACATACTCAAATCGGTATTTCCCTAAATTCCAACATCCCAAAATCGGTATATGACCCAATCAGTACGTCCACAAATCCCTCCATTCGCAAATCTCTACATTCCCGAATTCCTATAATCCCAAATACCTAAATTTCCAAATCTCTACATTCCCGAATCCCTGCGTTTCCAAATCCCTATATTCCGAAATTCTGACATACCCAAATTGCCATATCCTCAAATTCCTACGTCCCTAAATTGGTACATTCCCAAATTGCTATGTCCCTAAATTCTTACGTCCCTAAATTGGTACATCCCCAAATTGCTATATTCTCAATTCGCTACGTCCCTAAATCGCTACGTGCCCAAATAGCTACGGCTCCAATTAGTCATAACAGAAAAATGAACGCCTCACACGAATTTCCCGCGCTATAATTGCCTCTCGCAATCGTACACCAATTAAGCTAAAAACAATGACAATCATCAAACGTCTCTCAAATAAGTGTAATAGTGTAAATTACTATTGTTCAGCAGTTATAGTCATTATTATTCTCATTTACCAAAATGTTCGCGCCAACTCGTGTGTTAACATCTATATAATTATAATACTTACCAAAAGATGAAGCATTAGCTGCTTTCAATTGCCTGCGAAACGAAGCCCTCTGCGAGAGGCACAACGCTATGCACAAAATTAGCAGAGCTCCCAGAAACAAGGTCAAAGTCAAAAGCCAAAACGTCGTTCCAGCTTGCTCATACTGAACAATCGGTTGATATTGCGCTGGTTGCGTGTCGAGCACGTTGAATTCTTTGAACAGACTATCGAGCTTCTCTATATTTCTGTCGACTAATTCTAGTACCTCGGATACTTCGAGAATGGAATTGTCGCGCCGATTTACAAGGTGCATGTATAGGTCTGTTTTTGTTCGATCGACGGAACCGTCGTGGTTCTCGTGAATCTTGTATTCGTCGATGTTTACTATTGCTCCGGTCACGTTTCCTAGTGTTCTGAAAAATTATACGATCATATACATTTTGTATGTACATGTGTGGATGTCTTTCATATTTCAAGTCTGAAAATGTGCAATGAATGGCTACATGTGATGGGAATTTAAGCAGTTACTTAGGAGTATTAATCTGATTTCAACATAGCTTAAAACGAAGTAGTAATGTAGTTTTTAATTATACGTCTAATCAATATTCCTAATCTACTGTCCAGCTTTAATCTATGTCTATTAATTTAGCTGTTATCTAGATCTACTTGCGAACTGCTACAAATTAATTCGGGGAGATTTCGATTAGGCTGTTCTATCAGTGGGAATTTGTGTAATTAACAAAAAATTTATTTACACTTAATCACTTATAGACAATATATATGTTGCTTAATTAATGTGTGACGTACACATTGCTTAACCCTAGAGTGAATACGTATAATCACATTAATATACTGATTAGATTTCATAAATTTACTATTGCATTTTTTTTAGTACTTCAGTGATGTAGACGTGATTTGAAAAGTGTAGGTCGAGAAATTATAGAATACGATATGTGTTACAAAGTTATAACACATTGTACTGTTGGAATAACATGTTATATTATGTGATATATGTATGTGATATATGATATGTGATATATGATATGTGATATATGATATGTGATATGTGACATGTGATATGTGACATGTGATATGTGATATGTGATATGTGACATGTGATATGTGACATGTGATATGTGATATGTGATATGTGACATGTGATATGTGATATGTGATATACGATATACGATATACGATATACGATATACGATATACGATATACGATATACGATATACGATATACGATATACGATATACGATATACGATATACGATATACGATATACGATATACGATATACGATATACGATATACGATATACGATATACGATATGTGATATACGATATACGATATACGATATACGATATGCGATATGCGATATACGATATACGATATACGATATACGATATACGATATACGATATACGATATATGATATATGATATACGATGTATGATATACGATGTATGATATATGATGTATGATATATGATGTATGATATATGATATATGATATATTATTCTTAATATAACATACTGTTCTATGTGATATATTGTACTGTTCGAATAGCATGTTATACAATACGATATATTGTACTAATAGATTAGCATATTATATTATTTAACATGCAACAAAAACTATAATAAATTTATCTCCCACAACTCAACATGTAATTTGTAAAATTAATAAGTTAATTTACAATTTGTCAGTGATGCTATAACATATAGCTACTTTTTTATTTTAGTTTGAAAAAAGACGTAAATGTCTAGTTTCACACGTCAATCTATTCTTTACATATACGGTATTGTCCCAAGGTGTTTCACACCTCTAATATTGCCACATATGAGTCACACACTGTATGGTCACAGTTTCTGAGAATTCCTCACTGCTTATTCACTTTCCATATTTTGAGACAATTACCTACGTACATGCATTTTGAATATTCTTAAATAAATATTCTATTAAATAACAATCTGTTATTAAATGAATATTAAATAATATTTTGTTATCGAATAAATATGAAATAATAATCTATTATTAAATAAATATTAATATTTATAATCTTTCCAATCTTCATTTCATGAAAATGTTTTATATTTCATGGTATAAGAGCTGATAAGATCACATGAATACTAGCGATTATAACGCAGATATTAAAGCTTTAATATGAATTATAGTTATTTGTTTTTTATCGAGTAAAAGAACCTCGATACTTATTTTTGATATATTATTACATCAATTGATTTTCTGTACGTAATGTTATAAGAACTACGCATATTTCTGAAGTTAAAGTCAATCGCCGATTACACTTATACGTAAAATTATCAAGAGTATTGATCTCTATAGGTGGTTCCTGTCAACTTCATTATAATTGATGAAGTACGGCCTATTTTACGTAACTGCCTCTACTAATTTAGATTTCAGATTCGGATTAGATCCTTTTCTTTCTGCTCACGAAGTATGTTTTCAGTACATGAAGTTTCATGAATGTTTTGTAAGTTTCTTTATAACCAAAATTGTAGCCATTTTTATCGTTCATTAAACGTTTTAAAACTTAGTACGCGATATACAGAAAACCTTGCACGAAGGATTAAATAACTATTTTTTTTTAATTTTAGTGAATTTAGTGATTTGTAAATAGTAAAGAACAAATAATTTTTAACGTTATTAGTATTATGTTCAGCTGTAAAATTGAAAATGTGTGTACTTTTAGCTCTGATAAGAAAAACTGTTATAATGTGCTGCACTATTCATGACAAGTTTTAAAATTATAACTATTTCAAAAGTCGATTTTCATCTATTACGTTGTATCGTTGGTTAAATAAGGACATTCAAGGACTAAGTTTTCCTCTATTCAGATTTATAGTTCAAAAGCTTTGTAGTGCTTTTTTCACCACAGCAATCAATACAATAACAATTATAGATTTTGTTAAAAAATCTTAACACAGATATACGTCCATGTGACGGAAGGTAACAATTTAAGTAGTAACGTTAATAACAGTAAATTTTAACTTACTCTCTGAATGTTTCTATCCTATTCCGAACTTCCGGTGGATGTTGTCGCAACACGAAACGAACCCTTTGATCTTCTCGCAGTAAATAAATAAACACTCTTGCAGTGTCTTGTAGACCATCTGTGTCATTGGCTATTACCTATATCAACCAATAATTGAACACATTGATTACATCTCTAATATTATTGTCACATTTCGTAGTAAAATATTTTAAAATGTGGTGGAAAGAAAAATTAAGAACGTCTGTGTTTTATGATTGATTCGAAATTGTGTATTTAATATACCATAAAATCGAAGTATCCTTTCATTCCTCTTTGGGGATCAAAATTTAGACTTATAATTCCTGTGAGTTTGTTAACCAAGAAAGGTTGTAATTCAATGTCATCTAGTCCCTCGGTTAAAGTCATGTGCATCTTGCCCACGTGGTAATAATTAATTACTGCATTATCACCAGCGTCTAAATCGATTGCCTGAAACAGTTTTTGAATCATGATCAAATGTTGCAATAATTTAGTATTGTTGAATTTATTGTTGAATTGTTCAAATATTGTTACATTCCAAAAATGTCTTAAATATGATACATTTAAAATACGGAGGAGTTATTAATAAAATGATAAGATTTTCGAAATGGTTGATTCATGATCTATGATTGATCCAAATGATCTATCCATATAGACATCTGATATACATAAACCTGGTATACATCTGATATACATCTGATGTAAATAAATCTGATATACATCTGGTATATCAGCTTATATATCTGTATATCTGACATACATTTTTATATACATAAATAAACTGTTAAAATAACAATGAACCTTTTTAACAAATAACACAGTAACAATATTGTACCTTAACTTCCATAAACTGGGTTCCAAAGTCAGCTTCCGTAGTAACACCTCCAGTGAAGATTTTGCTAACAAATTTTGGCGGATTATCGTTTATGTCAGTCACGTCAATAATAACTTTTAACGTAGTGTCGTTTGCTTCATCGAAAAATGTTTCATTCAATGGCACTGGGACAGTGCTACAATCCTCTGTCGCCTTAATTATCAACAAATGTTGCTCCTGTTGCTCTCTGTCTAAAGTTCTGGCAGTCTGAAATAATTATTTACGATAATAATTGTTACATTACCTTGATAATTATTTAGGATGAGAATAATTGACACATTACTTTGATAATTATTTATGAGAATAATTGACACATTACTTTAATAATTATTTATGAAAATAATAGACACATTAATTTAATAATTATTTATGAAAACAATTAACACGTTTTATGTCAGGTGAGTCACAGATGGTTCATAATGTTTATTAAAAACGAAATTTTAATTTACTTAGCAAAAGTAGTATACTTTTCGTTATAAGTTTGAAACAAAATGAATACGTAGGTCAAACGCTATAATTGTATAATTATGATACAACAATGTTATAATATGATTGTATTACAATATACAGATGTTATAATATAACAGCAACTAGCTTTAAAAGAAAATAAGAAGAAACTCAACAAGTCTTTTATTACTTCATTAAATATTATTAAATATTTTATTTGTTATCATATTTATTCATTTTAACTTTCTATAAATAACATGTCCTCTCATTCGAATACAATTGTTGTACAACGTTTTAATTATTATATATTTATGGTATATACATGAAAACTTACGGTTAACTCGTGTTTGAAAATATCCAAAGTGAATAAACTGTCCTCATTTCCGCTGATTATGAAATAACAGACTTGAGTAGGCGGATCATCGAGATCGTCAACTTCGTCCCTGTCAATAGTTTCTGGAAGCAAAATCTTTTCCGACCCAGGAGGTTGCTCCTCTGTGAAATTAATGTTGAAAATGTCCACTAAGAATTGAGGCTCGTAATCGTTGATGTTTCGGACGTAAATGATTAGATCCAAATCCGAACTGAGTGGAGTTGGAGTACCTAAATCGTATGCTTCTACTCTGATCTGTTTGCGAAAAATAATAATTACATTGCAACAAATATTTTGTACAATTTTTACTAATTTTTAATATTATACACACATAATGATTTAATGAATAAAATTTTAGTCATTAAAATTACTATATAGAATACTAAATATGTGGAATATTAGATAACATATATAGTTCTAAGGACTAAAATATTCTAAGAACTTAAGTTACCTCGTATAATTTTTGAGTTTCTCTGTCCAGTGGAAGTTTCAGTGAAATAATTCCAGTTTTGTCATCGATGTGAAAAGTTCTCCAGTGACCAGCCAAATCTTGTTTTAGACGATAATGAACGTCACCGTTTGGTCCGGTGTCAGCATCTGCGGCCTCGATTTGGATGATTGCTGTTCCAACTGTTACATTCTGTAATTGTTTATTTTATTACAGTATACTACAAGAGCTATAATGAAATATATGTAATTCGAATAATAGCATCTACTTTTTAATTTTGGTAATTGGAAGATTGAAAAAATTGCAATTGGTTATATTTTTTATAATATGGTGCGTTATTCGTGCAAATATGAGATACTGATTGGTCATATCAAGTTTTAATATAAATATATTCTAACAGTTGATGTTTAATTCCCTATAATTCCCTATATTTATTTATTCATTTTAAATTCTTTCCATTTCTGCGACAATATAACACTTAAAAGTGATGAAAGAAAATTATACTAAAGATTATGGTACAACGTAGAATATAATGAAAAATGTTATTTAAAATAATATATCTACAAATTTACCTCTGGCACGCGAATAGTTGTATTATGTTGAGGACTAATAAACACTGGAGGATTATCATTGTAATCGGTAACGCAAATATTTAAGACCGAAGTGTCTTTATTAGAAGGATTTCCAAGATCTCTAGCTTCCAAATGCAGTGAGTAATTCCCGAATTTTCCTCGGAGTGAATGAGCCGCTTTTATGTGTGCTGTCCAATAATCCGTTTGTTCTAAGATGAATAAACCTAATCGAACAAATTAATATAAATTCATATTATTATTTAATAAAAAAAGTAATTTTGTTGATAAGAATTTCGTTCATCAAAATTTCATAGGTAAAATTAACTTCATTAAGAAATTGAATTACTTTTTGAAGTTAGGTTTCATGTGTTCGCAACTCGAATTTTTACAATTTTTAATGTTTTAGACTTAATGTGATGTTACGATAATAATGCATAAATATCAAGAACACACCTAATTCATTTCCGGAGAGAATTCTGATTCTCACACGACCATTCGGTGTAGTTGGGTCATCCGCATCCTTCACTTTAATGGCGAAAATTAAGTCCTTGATATCGTGGAACTCTGATATAGTGATGCATGTTGGAGGAATGTCCATTTTTGGTGGGTTGTCATTTACATCTACTACTGTAACCCTTCAAAACATAATTGATATTTTCTAGTTCTTTACTAACTAAAGTTGCATAAATAAAATTCCATTTGTTAATTATTACTTTCAATTCTTGAATTGCAAATTAGATTGCAAAGACTCTGACTAGTATTTAGAGCACCTAATGATAGTGATCACAGTGATTTATTACAAATAATGAATAAATATTGATTTCTTCAAAATCTTAACTTACTGAATTTGTTTGAAGGCATTTCTCGATTCACCAGCCGTGTAACCGAACTGATAATTATCCCAAGCTTCTATGACTAGAACATAGCTTTGTTTAGTTTCCCAATCAATGGAATCTGCTACTGTTAAAGCACCAGTTTCAGGATGAATGGCAAACGTTCCCTGCATCATTAAATAATTACATTCTTACAAATACATATAAACATATTCTCTCAGATTTTATAAAATGTTTAGAACAACAAATTTTTATGAAGAAGTTGAATTTTGTTACAGTAAAGAATTGTCCAGTTATGGAAGTAATAGTAAGAGTCATTTAAAATAAGTTTTACCTAAACTCATCTCTTGAATTAATTTCAAATATATTCGTACAAATATGTTTATAGCAATAAATTTGTATGAGGGACTTGAATTTTGTTACTGTAAATAATTGTACACTTATGGAAGTAATGTTAAGGACTTTATGAAATAATTTTCATTAAGTCAGTTTTATCTAAAATTTTCTCTTAAATTAACTTTAATTAGAATAAGATTCTGATTTATTTATATATACATTGATTTGAATATTTAGTTTGAATTATTAAGTAATATTTAATAATATTTCTGTTTACCTGAGACGACATCCTATCTAACAAATACGTAATTTTCCCATAATCACCGCTATCAGGATCATTAGCCTGAATAGTAGCTATTGTTGTACCAACTTTGACGTTCTCCATTACCATTATATTATTGATATCGGTAATGAAATATGGGTTATTGTCATTTTCATCTAATACCTGGACGTAAACCTCCGATAAACTTGATCTAGAAATTACATACGAAACGGTATCATCGATATTGTATATGTATATGAAATTTATTAACACTTTCATATCAGCAATGAAATAAAATTTAAAAAAATATGATTTTCTTTTTCTTTAACGTTAACATCGATTAATTTGTGATGTAATTATAAAGTTAATATTGTCCAAAATTATTGTTATAAAATAAATTACTTTACTCATTATTAGTTACTCTATAATTATTAAAATAACTATATATAACGCAAAATATAATGAGAAAAGTCCATACTTTATCTCATACACTAATACAGCTATGAAAATTGTTTAGAAATTCATTTTACTTTTACGAAGGTTTATAAAAATTCATTGAATAAATAAATTGTCTAAATAATTCATTTGATATTATTATTCAAACTATTAGTTAAAATATTTATGTGGACTGAAATGTAAGTTGAAAACACGTGATGTTAAAAATGACGGAAATAATTTTACCTTGGCGGTATTCCAGAGTCAGTGGCCCTCACCGTAAGATTAAGCCAGGAATATTGTTCTCTATCGATTTTATTCGCGACGACCATTTCTCCCGTTTCAGAATCAAGGTGCACCAAATCTGCAAGTTCTTTTGGACTTTCCAACGAATACGTAATACTACGATTTTTGTCAGCATCGTCAGCCACGATGCTAACAATGTTGACGCCATTTTTACTGTTCTCGGTCACTGACCGTCTATAAAATGGTCTTCGGAATCTTGGATTATTATCGTTTTCGTCCTCAATTATTATGTTCAATATTGCTGAAATATATATATGTAAATTGCAAATAAATAATGATAGTAAAATATACTTAAAACAGTTATTAAAAATTTTATTAAAGGATTCTAAATAAAAAATTATATAAATGTCAAATTTTATGACCAGTAGATTTTCTCAGAAAATTAAAATTTCGTTTACAATATTATTTAGTCTTGTAAATAATCCTAAATTTTTATAAAGCAAGAATAATAGTTTTTAAGTTTTGAAAACAGCAATAATTGTCCAAAAAATATTTTTCAAAGTAAAAAATATCCCCTTTTCTTTGCATTCACACTACGAATTTTTATTCCAATTATTTCCATCAGTGTTCCCAAATACTAACCGAATGCAGTTTGTACTTCTTTAACCGCAGCTAAATCTTCAACAACGAGTCCCAACCTTATAGTCTCCACTCTCTCTCTATCCAACAATTTAACCACTCTCAGCAATCCATCAAGTGCGTTCAATTCTAAAGCGGAAAGATAATCGTATTCCTGAATTTTGATCAAAGTTCCTTCCTCGTTCCTTGCCTCCGAAGAATTCGGGTCAATGCGATATCTCAAAACTGGTGATATATCTGGATCGTTAGCGACGACACGATGCACATATGCGCCAACCTGCAGAATAATTAAATGCTTATTACATTGTTACGTAAAAATTATTTACTTTTGTGTATAGAAGAGAAATCGCATCAAAATCTCAGCAAAAATATTTTTTGCTGAGAAATCGTGATTGTGAATTGAATTTGTAAGTTGTAAGTTGTTCTTTGTAAGTTGAATTGATGCAATTATGCTAAACTCACATAACATTATTTATTAGTGTTTTCAATATGAAACTATTACATTTTTGCGATTCTATCAAATGATACAAAATGTAAAAAATAAAAATTGCGATATAGATTAATATTTAATTAAATGCATCTTCCAATAAGTTGTAAGAATATAAACAGTATAAAAGAGACTATGGTCTAAAGTTACTTATAACCGAAATTAAAGGATTATAAAATAAAGGATAGAAGTGGATCAGTTTGTATATACATATTATTCAAAAATACATATAACTTTATTTACCTGTGTATTTTCGCGGATAGTAACAGTTCCAGGATCAATAAAAATTGGAGGTTTGTTATTAACATCCACAATGGTGATATTAACAAGAACTTCAGCAGTTCTCTGCACTTCCGTTCCACTGTCGATTGCAAGGACGTTCAAATTATAGCGAATGGTTTTTGGCGAAGTAAGATCTGGGTCTAAATTAGAGCCAGGTGCAACTCTAATAACACCTGTCTCCGGACTGATCACAAATTTATCACCTGCACCACTTTGAATTCGGTAAACTAATTTATTGTTTGGGGAGGATAAGTCTTTGTCCCAAGCTCTGACCTGCAATGGAAACTTAACTTGTTAGTACAATTGCAAATATATAAATTAGTTCTGCGTTTTCAATTTTATCGTTTGAATAGCTTGAAATATGGTTAATAGTTTCTAAATGTGTTTGTTAATAGCTTCTTAAATACAGTGTTTTTTAATAGCTTCTTAAATACAGTGTTTTTTAATAGCTGTTTGAATGTAATTTTATCTGATCATGAATATATGTACATACATATGTGTGTTATGCAGTTAGGTTATATGTAAAATCTAGTAAGAAATAGGAACAGATTTTTGAAGAAAAACTTGCATGGTATATTTTACTATGAGCTAATTTTCTTTGTGTATTTGCTTTGGCAATACATATACCACTAATTTTCTTTGCGAACAAAAAATGCAAATCGCACTCTTTTTTTACATTGAATTACACATTTTTTAAGTATGAAAAATCCGAAGAATATCAACTTCGTTGAATAATATACAATTCAGTAGAAGTAAAATTCAAGTAACTTACAGTTCATAAATTACAAGTAATGAAATAATTTTATTCATTTTTATTATTTTGGAAAGACTAATGTATTATTTTATTCAACTAAAAATTTCTTTTCGTTGAGTACCTGAACTACGCTCGTGCCACCAGGTAAGTCTTCAGGAATGCTCCTCTTGTACAAGGTTCTCTCAAATGCGGGTGGGTTATCATTAACATCCTTCAAGTAGATAATTAATGGCGCGTCTGAACTTAAGCTTGGTGTGCCCATATCCCTAGCCCGCACTGTCAATCTCAATGGACGGACTGACGTTTCCTTATGCCCTTGACTAATAGGCAGTGCTTCATAATCTAACGGTGTTGTTGGGGTGATTACCCCTCGTTTCGAATCGATGCTAAAATTCTTTGAAAGTTCGCCTGATACTAATGCGTAAATTACTTCGCTGTTTTTGGTTCCTGTTGAAAGATAAATATAGAGAGTGTTATAATATTTTATAGATGGGTGGTTAGTGTTATAGATAGTCTTATGTATAGTGTTTAATATACAACAGGGTTTAATATTATTGTTATATTATAATCATGAAAAAGTAGCAAAAGTTGTGCTTTTAATGTATGAATAGCATAATATGTGAATGGTGTAATATGTGAGCAATTTAATGTGAAAGCGATCTAATATGTGAGCGTTCTAATATGTTAGAGATCTAGTATGTGAGAGATTTAATATGAGAGCAATTTAATATGTGAACAATCTGATATGTAAATGTTCTAATATGTTAGAGATCTAATATGTGAGAGATCTAATATTTGAGAGATTTAATATGAGAGCAATTTAATATGTGAACAATATAATATGTGAACGATCTGATATGTGAATGTTCTAATATGTCAGAGATCTAATATGTGAGCGATCTAATATATGACCGTATGTGAGCAATCTAATGTGTGAACCACCTGATATGTGAGCGATCTAATATGTGAGAGATTTAATGTGTGAGCGATCTAATATATAACTGACCTAATATGTGAGAGATCTAATATGTAAGAGGTTTAATATGTGAGCGATCTGATCTGTCAGTGATCTAATATATGCGCAACCTAATATGTGAGCGATTTAGCACATAAGTGATTTCATAGTAAATGAAATACAAAACATAGGAAATATCGGTTTTAGATGAAAAGTTTATATCAATCAAAAATTCTTATTCACTAAAGAGTTACTGTAGGTACATAAATAGACTTTAAGTCAAAATGAACTTTTACTAACATTTACAAAATTTCATTTTGCAAAATTATTTTCAGTAAAAGAATTCTGTAAGATACTACTTTGTAGCGTTTCTCAAAATTCAAAAACTAATTGACTAAATATCATTTATTTTTATCAGTTATTTTCAGAGTCAGAAATTTTTCAACAATTCTTGTTTATTTTACTTTTGTTTTGATTGCTATTACCCTCCACAGTTTTCCTATTATTATAAATACAATATTATTTAGACATATTACTTAGCCAATAATGCAACAATAAAGTTACTAACCATTTAAGTCAATGTCAAATGCTTCAACGATTAAGGGTGACTCGAAATGATCTTCATTTTCCAGAAGCACAGCTTCGTACTTCTTTTGCAAAAATACAGGAGCGTTGTCGTTGACGTCGTTCACATTCACAATCAGTTGAACTGTATTCTGATTACCTTTTCCACGATCGTCCCTTGCTTCGACGGTTAAATAATGTCTCGACACTAGTTCTCGATCGAAGCTTGGACCAGGTTCTTTTACTGTGATTATACCTGATACTGGATCCATCGATAATCTATAACATAAAAATTGCATAAGTAATTGTATGGGGATGGAACGATTTGGGGACGCAGCGTTGTGAGGACGGAGCGATTTGGAGACATAGTGATTTGGGGACGTAGCGATTTGGAAATGTAGGAATTTGAAGATATAGAGATTTGGGAATGTAGGGATTTGGAAGTGTAGGTATTTGGGATTGTAGGAATTGGGGAGTGTAGAGATTTGGGAGTAGTGGGATTTGGGGACATAGTAATTTGGGGATATAGCGATTTGGAGACGTAGAAATTTGGGTATGGAGGGATTGGGAATGTAGGGATTAGGAAGTGTAGGTAATTGGCGTTGTAGGAATTGGAATATATAGAGATTCGGGAGTGGAGGGATTTGGGGACGCAGCGATTTGGAAATGTAGGGATTCGAGAATGTAGGGATTGGGACTGCAGAGATTTGGACCTGTAAGTATTTGGAACTGCAGGTATTGGGGAATGTATGGATTTGGAAATATAGGAATTCGGAAATGTAAGGACTCGAGAATATAGATGTCCCAGAATATAGAAATTTTGAGATATGTGAACACCTGGGTTAATCTCTTTACGCGCCAACTCGTCAACATCTTCTAAAAATCAATATTCATTAAAATATCAATCTCAAAGATTTATAGAACTTCATGTTAATTTTCATTAGCCTTAATTCGGTCTAATTATTAACTTCTTAAGAATTCCTACAGAACAACATTTAAGTATGCATAATTAGGTACGCATTAACCTGGTACATATATAATCAAGATTACACCATATATGTTTATACATTCATAGTACATTAGATGCAAATAGTATGTAAAACATATGGTACACAATAAGAACGTAAATTACTCGGAGTGAGTAAAATCATGTCGAGAGATGATTAACGCGAACATCCGCAATCGTGATTAACGTCATACTTGTATAATATTTCATGGTTGCATAATAACTTACGCATGTGCAATACTGCCTCCTAAATTGGTGTATCTGATTCCACGGGTACCAAAACTACCGCTGTCCTCATCCAAAGCTTGAACCCACGCCACTGTTGTGCCAACAGCACAGTTTTCTGGTATTGACACTTCGTAGGTGTCTTCGGTGAATTCTGGATAATTGTCGTTTTGATCTTTTATGAAAACCACTACTGACACTTTGCTGAGCTTCGGTGCCACTGTCACTACCTCTTTTGCGATTAGCGTAAAATTTACCTCTGAAAACGTGAAGTTAAATTTAGTATTACGTATTTAGCATTTACCTCTGAAATTTTTATTGAGCATAAGTAGTTTTTTATAATTATGGTATGATAAAATTATTGTCGTTGTTGTAAAATTATTGCAATTACAGAAAACATTACAGTAATAATTATATTATTGTGAAAACAGAAAATTATTAATTAATGTAAATTATATTTGGGACTCTTATGAGAAGAAAGTAATAGTTACATAAGAGAGTGCTTTGGAAGTTACAGTTAATTAAAGATAACTTATGCAAAAATAATATTATAATTTACATATAAATTAGTATTAAAAAAAAAGAAAATAATAATTTTTAATATCATTAATATTAAACTGAAGGTGAAACATTAAAATGTGAAATATTAAATTCAACCAAAATTAAAAAATTTAGAAATAAATAATAAAATATTCAGTAAATAAAGTAATACATGCATCATAAACAATAACATATCGTACTATGTATGGCCAGTTCCGTCATAGACTACAATTTACGTTTTGAAATAATTTTTATAATATCACTTTTTATTAAGAATCAATGTAAGTATTGAATGAAAGTATTTAATCATTTATTTACCTGTCCTTTCCTCAAAATCGAGTTTGCTAGAATTTTTCACGCGTATTAGGAAAGGAGCTTCATTAATTCCCCTCGATGGTGTAACGTCAAATATACCTTCGTCGCCTTCGATGTACATTCTAAATGTACCATTTGTTCCCTAAAGAAAAAACCACGTTGCAAAAAAATTACACTAAAAACTTAATTCGAACTTTCATAACATTGTTAAAAAAAAAATGAAGAATTGTATCGTAACTCGAAGAATTATTTACTCATTTTAGTCATCAAACTTCTATAATACTGTTAAAAAAGTCAAAGAATTACAGTTTAAGTATAATTGAGTTATATAACTCAAAGAATTATTGAATCATTTAATTTTTATAGTCACTGATTAACTAATAAATAATACTAACGAACGATGCCTTTTTGTTTCTTTTAAAAGTTCAAAGTTTGTTCAAATTCGTAAAGTTTGACATTACTCGTGGATTAGTATTACATTTTAGATATTGTTTTTTGAGACACCCTGTATATTTATCTGAGCATTAAAGACCGCAAGAGAGAGAAACGGAGTTTATCAATGATCCCACGAAACAGCGTTGGCTTCTCACCAAATCATGATCGTAGACTTCCGGTATCGCATCGCCGATGAAATTAACAGGGGTATTATGCGGCGCATTTTCATTTATCTCGGCGCGATATCGCGTGCTTCGAAACTTTGGTGTTTCGTCGTTCACGTCTGTAAGAATAATGGTGACTTCGGTCGAAACTGACGGCGGTGGTACTATTTTCGACACTTCTTTCACTGTAATTTCCAGGATAAAAGTGCCGTCGGCATTTTCTTCTGCCTCCCTGTCGAGTTGAGCTCTGGTGAACACCAGACCGGAAGTGGCGTCTATGTCGAACAAGTATTTTGGACCCTGAGTTATACTGTATGTCACTTTGTTGTTTATTCCTTTATCACCGTCTACTGCACGAACTGTAACATATTTTTGATATGTTATTTCAAATTATGACGTTACTATGTTTTGTGATAAGTATATACAGTGTGTTACGTTTATTAGAGAAAGAATATGTATATAATGTGTTATTTTATTATAAAAAGTGTATATATGGTATGTAACATGTGTTGTAGAAAATGTGTGTATATAGTGTGTTACTTTTATTATAAGAAATGTATATATAATATGTAACATGTGTTGTAGAAAATGTGTGTGTATAATGTGTTACTTTTATTATAAAAAATATATATATAGTATGTAACATGTGTTGTAGAAAATGTGTGTATATAATGTGTTACTTTTATTATAAAAAATGTATATATAGTATGTAACATGTGTTGCAGAAAATGTGTGTATATAGTGTATTACATTTATTATAAAAAATGTGTATATAGTTTGTTATATTTATTGTAAAAAATGTGTGAATGTGCAGCATGTTACAACTACTATAAAAAATGTGTACATACTGTGTTACATTTATTGTAAACAATACAAAGTGCTATGTTCTTAAAAAAAATTTTTAAGTGCCTATTCTATAATAGAATAAATCAGTAGTAAGTCGAAAAATATTTCTCGTGATATATGAAATTAATACTTTTATTAAAAGCTATAAATTATCAGTTTTATTATTTGAAGGATTGAACGTGCTTCTAAGGTGTTACCTTATGTTCTAAGGGGTATAAGTACGCTAACCTTGAAGAACGGAAGTGCCTATCCGAACATTTTCACTGATCCTAGCAACAGGCGTCATGGTTATAAATTCTGGTGGCTGATCTTCGACATCTTGCACCTTCACGAGTATCGCGGTTGTTCCAGTATTTACCTAAATCAATTACAAGTAAGTGTAATAGTAGTTTGATTGCTAATTTTAGGTCATAATAATTTATTAATGGTAACATTCAAATATAATTTCAATGCATTCTAAACCTTTATTATCTTTAATAATGATTCATTATCCTTATCGTTGAAATATTTTGTTGATTTTTTTTAGTTTAGCAGTAGATAATTTTTGCATAAGTATAAGCTCTATTTTTGACGAATTTTAAACATTGACTGTTATCTTTGTGACGACGAAATTAAAAATGGCAGTAATATTTTATAGCAAATACTTAATGTTGACAATTTATTTCACATTACAAAATGAGCTTATATTGTATTTTAAAACAATTGTACTAAAACTATTTTCAACCAAATACCAAATAATGTTTTATAGCTTGTGTTATACAGCTGGTATCATACAGTACCTAACAATAGTACTATTACGTCTAATTTAATAACATTATCGTAGACAACAGATGCAAATTTAAATAAGGAATAACTTGCAGCTAATAACTTGCAAAAATAATTTGTAACTAATCTTATAAAATTTGCAATCCACATTTTGAAGACGATCATTTCAGTCCTTAAATACAGAAGAGATAATTAAACTACACAAGTCGTACACAAAGATTTCTACGACTACACTTTCATTATGTTCGAAAGATCATCGCAATTATTCGCACTCTATTTTTTCTTGCTCTCATTTGTTTACGTAAAACTCTCTTGCATTGCAATTTCCCTTTACCAGAGAAAGTACCTGTTTTATAAACAAGAATTTCTGAAAAGCAACTGAATACTCATGTATATTTATAATGGTCCATAGAAAACGTACTCTTACAACGATAATAATTTATAGAAACTATAATAATTCCTTGCAAAACAAAGTTCGTCATTTTTGTCATATGAAGATGAATTTAATATAGAAATTCAATGATGTGAATATATAGGAATTTTGAACCGTTTATTTTAAATATGAGGCAAGTTCATTTTTTGTTACTGCGAAATATTTGAAATTTTCGTTTCAATAAATTAAAGAATATTGATAAGTACTAATATATACATTTTTTATACTTTGTAGATAATAATGTACGGATATTATCTCTAACTGTTCTTAAAATTCTGTTCATAAATGAAATACAGGTTTTTATTAATCTTCCACCATCAAAATATTAGGGAATTATTTTCTCTATAGATTGTTTACAGATAAAAATATTATTTTAAGTTTTATCTTCATCTTTTTCAAACATGTACTTATCCCACTTTTAAAATGAAGACTTCTATAAAATGTCTTCAACATATCACTTCATTCAAAAATGTTATATAACCAACCTTTTCGTTTATCGCACGATCGATGGCCAAAATCCTGAGTTGGTACAGATATTTTCTTTCATAATCCAGATGTCCAACAAGACGGATGACACCTTTACCATTGACAGTAGCGATACTAAACACATCATTGTCTCCGTCAAGTTCTTGCAGATAGTAAACCACTTGCCCATGTGCTCCCAAATCCGCGTCAGTAGCTTCGACCGTGGTTAGAATACCCGGTCCTGAATCCTCGCGAACTGTCAACGAAGTTGGATGTGGTCGGAAAATTGGCACGTTGTCATTGACATCTTCTACCAGCAACAGCAAACTTTGCGTGATGAAGTTTCCCTCGCCGAGTCTTCCATCCGTCAGAGTTAGCACCAATGCATACTCATCCCTAGTCTAAAATATAAACAAAAGTATGAAATGTGAAATATAAAATATGAAATATAAAATATGAAATATAAAATATGAAATATAAAATATGAAATATAAAATATGAAATATAAAATATGAAATATAAAATATGAAATATAAAATATGAAATATAAAATATGAAATATAAAATATGAAATATAAAATATGAAATATAAAATATGAAATATAAAATATGAAATATAAAATATGAAATATAAAATATGAAATATAAAATATGAAATATAAAATATGAAATATAAAATATGAAATATAAAATATGAAATATAAAATATGAAATATAAAATATGAAATATAAAATATGAAATATAAAATATGAAATATAAAATATGAAATATAAAATATGAAATATAAAATATGAAATATAAAATATGAAATATAAAATATGAAATATAAAATATGAAATATGAAATGTGAAATGTAAAATGTGAATTACTGAGTAAATTGCAAAATGTCGAAATTCTAAAATCAAAAAATTTCTAAATATCTAACTTCTGAAATATCTCCTTTCTCCAAATCTTCTAACATCCCTACAGTAGAAATCTTGTTGGTCATTTTCCTTAAAGAAAGATTTTATCTCGACTAGAGTTTCGTTCAATTCACAAAGTATGGGTCGTATTCTCTCGTAAGACGAATGTATTATTAACTTTGTACAAAAATAGTGAAACACACCATGCATGGAACAATCACGATCTGTTAACAACGTCGATTTAGTCAAACCAAAAAATATTTGAAAGCATTTGAAGAAAGCTAGGTCGAGGATGGACCATTTCGTTGTTTAGAAAGTCGTACTATCAACCATATTATTAGATGAACATCACAATTTCTGTCAAGACAGATAAAACATCGAACCAATAATTACACGATGTCAGGCAGGAAATTCTTTCGCTCGCAAATGGTCACGTTTAAGAGAAAAGATGATTACAAAATAACAAGTTCCGCGAAGAGATCCATTTCAGATCACCAGTTATACATTTCTTTCCTTCGTTTTGCTGCTCTCGGAGTTTCTCTTTAATACCTCCGACGTTGTTACACTGATCGGACGTATTATGCGTGAAACTCAAAGAATAAAAGTCACTGGTGAAAAAGGAAATTGATATCAACTTTTCATAGAAATTATCGTTCTTATTGCTGAGTTCTTGCAATTTATTGTGGCTAAGTGAAAAGATGAAAAAAGAGTGAAATGTGATCTTTTTATTTGAATGTGCTATTTCATGCATCGATTATTAGTCTTCAATTTTATGATTGTGAATTTTGTGCAAGTTGATTTAGTTGGAAAGTCGTATTTTATTAGCGAAATGGTGTTTGGAAATTTAAGTGGTTTAATGATAGACATTTTTAAACTTGCTAATTTGGTATTTGGAAATTTGGAAATGAAGATATATAAAATTTTTTTATAGATAAATTAGCAAATTTAGAAACTTGAAAATTGCAAAATTGAGAGGTTAGGTAGTTTGGTGCACATGTCATAGAAATTTAGAGATGAAGAAATATATCGCTTTTCATAGATAAATTAGAAAATTTAGAAACTTAAGTTGCAAAGTAAAGAGGTTAGGAAGTGTCATAACATCGAAAGGACAAATATGGAAAAATTGCAAACCACTAGGTGTGATATTCGAAGCAATTTCATACACATATCACAGAAATATAGAGATGAAGAAATATATCACTTTTCATAGATAAATTTAAAAATTTAGAAACTTAAGTTGCAAAGTAAAGAGGTTAGGAAGTGTCGTAACATCGAAAGGACAAATATTGAAAAATTACAAACTACTAGGTGTGATATTCTGATTAATTTCATGCACATATCATAGAAATACAGAGGTGAAGAAATATATAGTATCTCCATAGATAACTTAGAGAACTTAGAAACTTGAGTTGCAAGGTAAAAATATTAGTAAGTTTCAGATCGAAAGGACTAATATAAAAACCTTGCAAACTAAGTGTGACATTTTGATCAATCCCATGCCCATTGTGAATGAACATAATCATTGCGACGAAATAGACCGTCTCTAGGACAAATTACCTCTCTGTCCAGCAATTTGTTCAGGTAAATATTGGCCTGGTTTGGACTAAAATTCTCGACCCGAATCACGTCGCTGTCAGGCTGATCTCTAACACCGAACATCAGGCTGTCACCGTCAGGATCGACGCCACGAAGCCTGTAAATTAAACTGCCTGCAACAGAAATCAGTCGACACGAATCGCAACACAATACACTAGCAAACAATGGGCGTAATTAGTTTAAATTCGAAGGAACGACGAGTCTACTGTAGACTGAGGTTGCTGGAAGATTATTCAGAGGTGTACTTGCATTCGATATACGAAATGTGACACTGTCAAAATATTTTGATTATACAAATGGAGTGGATGACAGAAATTTATAATGGCATTTATTATTTTGCGCAATTCTTTTAAATGTTGTTTTTTGATTCAATAAATGTGATTTTTAGAATTAATATCTTCCTAGTATGGTTATATACATATACACACATGTGTTTTCTATGGTTGATGGTTATATATTCTGCTTAGTACATTTTAATAAGGTTTTAGTCATTGTTCTTCAGATATTTATTCAAAACTATTAAATTATGTACGAATATTCTGTTAATTTTTATTATAAATGTCATTTACAAAAAAAGAAGTGAGTAATGCTCTACTAATCAAAACAGTTTAATTTTGTACCATCAGAATAAAAAGCCTAAATCATCAATGAATCGACATGAAATTAACAAGCAAATATAGTAATCAATAATGTAATATTAATTACACAATTAACGATACAATTTTAAAAAACATCATCAATGATATAATATCAATTAAGAAAGTAAGCATGACAAACATAAAGCATTGCGATTCATTTTGCATGTATTAGGTTGTTGCATTTGAAATGAAGGATTTCGAAAGGAAAAGTTTGACATAATTTAATGACATAAAAGTACCATAATATGCTATCCTTCGTTGCAATGAATAACCAGTAATTTTGCATTCACATTTTACTTATATAAATTGCTGTTCATATAACATTCTTCGTACATACAAATTACTGTTCGTATAAAATTTTTCGAATACAAAAATTACTGTTATTATATGTACAATTTTTTGAACATTTTCATATAAAGTTTTGTGCACACATAAATTGTTAATTAAAAACTTTGTATACACATAAATTGTTAATTAAAAATTCTGTATACACATAAATTGTTAATTAAAAATGTTAGTACACATAAATTCCTGTTCCTATCTAAACGAAATTTATAATTGTATGTTATAATCGTATGTATTGTATTATATATAATTGAATGAACTCATAGCAATTAACAATTCAAAAGTTACTAGTATAGTTCAGCAATACTTTGAACACCCGTAAAGGCAATCAAGATGTAATTGTGAAATCAATTACACAATTAAGATTCTCGTTTCGCCACGGTCTAGATTCTAAAATCTAGAGTTCTCTGACCGTAAAATTTAGCTTTTAATTTTTAAGCCGTTTCAATTACTCCTTCAATTTAATTCTGTGACTAATTTGACGTGTAGCTTGATATAGTACTAGGAAATTTATTAAAGGAAACTGATCGTAAATATCTCGGAGAACAATCATAATGCAATGATTATGTGAGCTCTCGTTCACAATTACCTCACTTGAATTTTTTATGCGGTATACGAGTTCGTTGCAACATTCGCTTTATTAGGAAACTTCATTTTTAATTCATTTTTAACGAAGAGAATTTTTGGACTGAAATTAACTAAAAGTGAATGAAACAGGAAATTCGGTTTTGTGAAAGGTAAAATTGTCTGTTTTGTAGATGCGTTTGTTAAAGTTTGTAGACGGCAATATAACGAGACTCCACTGTATTATGCATAAGTGTTGATAAAATATTTAAAGACGTACTATATTTTATCGTTTCTATGATATAGGACCATTATTTTTAAAGTTATAAGCAATTTTTAGTAAAGCTATTAGTACATAATAGTACCTATGCTAATATTATTAGTATAATAATATCTATATTAGTGATACTAGTATAATAATTCTTATATTAATAACATTAGTATATTGACAATATTAGTATAATATAATAATAATAGCAATGGAAAGTTCAGTATAAAGTATAAATACTCTAAATTTATTTAAAAAATCCTATTAATACAAAGAATTAAGGGTTGCACCCTCGGTATTTTTAAATCAAAATGCAATTCGGCGATAAATATTTTTAAGTTGCAATATATCTATTGCAATATTTCTGAGTTCCAATTAATCCTTTAACTGTAGGTTAATACATACTAATATTATAGCCAGAGGAGTATATAAAGAACAAGTTAATTTTTGTTAATATCAAATGACAGCTATGATTAATATACCACTAAAAATAAAATAAATACAAAAAAAATCTTTTTAAACAAAATATCAACACAGTAATATTATATTAAAATTAAATTAAGATTAAATTGAAACTTTTTTACATTTTACAAAAAGTAGCAGTTAAAGGGTTAAAATACGATTATGGTATAGTGTGCATCGAAATAAAACAAGGATATATTCTTACCAACTGGTGTATCAGGACCTTCCTTCAACCTGAGAATAATTTCCGTTTGTCCATCGATAAGAAAACGTGGCGGATTATTTCTAGCCTCGCAAGTCGTCAAAAGACAAGCAAACACAAAAACAAGGCATTCAGGCTTGAATCTTCGTCTCTTGTACGATCTTAACAGCCATGAAAACGTGATGATTGGCTTTGTTGAGGTCATCTTGTTGGCGAGCTCTGCTTAATTGACATGATTACTTTCTTTTGTCGAATTAGCGTAACCGTTGTGCAGATAATTGCGATCCTTGCTACGATTGTGTGGATCCTTAAACAAAAACCGAAGAAGCATTACATTACAACATGTTCTTATTATAAAATTCAGTAAACATTTATTTTGCATTTTCATATTTATTTTCTAACTGCTCTTTCTTTTTAAGAGACATGGATGAAAAATTGTTATGGTCTCAAATTAATTTTTTACGTCAATTTTCATTAATATTATGCAAAAATCACTCGAGTTTAAATAATATGAAGAGTTTTATTTACTGAATACTTGTTTTATGTTGATATTAACTTGCAGTCGCTTTGGACCATACATATTCATCGACATATTTACATTTTTAAATCAGGTATAATAAAAGTTAAAATAGGCGTCGATTTCCCTCAATTACCACAAATTAAACTAAAAATTTTCGAAAAAGCAATACTTTAAATCGGAAAATTGTAAATAAAATATTGTCCAGCAGAAAAGTAGCAAAATATTGAAGTAAATATAAAATGTACTATTCAAAAAATGTATAATATATATACTGTTGAAAATATAAAAGGTACGCGTTCGCGCAAGAGAATTAAAATCGATTAAAACAGATAACGCGCCACTTTCAAGCGCTTGTCACTTTCACGCTCATATAACTCGGCTACATGTGATTTTTCTCGGTGAGACCGTGTTCGAGGAATTAAAACAAGTTCCCGGCGCAGATCTTTCAGTTAATTAGTCCGAGTTTAAGACACGTCCCCTGAGAACAGTGTAATTGACCATGCGGAGAAAACGTGCCGAGAGAAGATCACGGATCGAGGTAAAGCGTATTTGTACATCATTCTAAAAAGGTAACGCGGCCAGAGGAAAGCGCGAGTAAACAGTTTACGAAAAGAAAAAGGTTACGGATTTTCTTGTTGGACGAGAGCTGATTTCTCCGAAGCGGTGAAAATTCATTCATGGGTTAGTGGAATTTTCTCGAGATCCTTCAGGAAAACGAGTCGATTTAATCTTTGTTGGTACTCGGTTTCTCTGCCATTTTGTATAGCGTAAGTGAACAGCTCGGACCACGTGTCTAAAACTTAAATCAAATTTTAATATATTAGATTAGTTAATTATGCTATTATTGATACGTTTAATTGTGTTGCAACAGAATTACATTTTTATTTTTTTGTTTTATATTGTTATGTTAGTTGCTACTTTAATCTTGGTAGTTATATTTTTATTATTATATTTTATATTATTATTTACGTTTTTATTGTTTTTAATCTTGTTATTTATGTTTTTATTCATTATGTTTCAGATAATTTGCATTTCTACTTTATTTTAATTTATTATTTATCAGAATTTCATTTTACTTCATTATTCATAACATATTTTCATTACTTTATTTCACCTCACTACTTATATTTTCACTTGATTTCATTATTTATATTTTTATTATTTTTTATTATTTACAATTTATCTTTCATTTTATTTTGTTTAATTATGCTTGAACTTTTGTTCAAAACGAACAACCATGAAATTAAAAAATATTTGAGACATCATCTAAATTTATAAAACCGCCAAATAAAATGTGAAATAAAGAATTATTTTTTCCGCAATAAATTTGTGAAATAATCAAGAAAAAAATTTTGCGAAATTAAATACGAGATGATTGTTTCAAAAATGAGAAAAAAATGACTTTTGGATTTAAAGGGACGATGATGACCATACGAGTGTAATATAAAAGAACTTATTAAAATAACTGCATTTTATTATTGTTAGAACAAAGGTTACGTCAGGTAGAACGTTTTAATTGCACGTTAATGTGTTTGAGTAAATGATTCATAAATAAAGCGTTGTCTATCGCGAAAATAAACGAAGCGAAATATTAACGGAATTACGAAATTATTTATGCTTTGTTATCGCTTTGTGTAATGTGATCTAGCATTATAACAAATGGTTATATGCTATATATATGCAGCGTTAAAGACATTGTTAGATAACATTGCGTTCCGCGTTACTAAATTTTATAATTGTTTTTATATATTTTATCGTAAAAGAATACGGAAGTTTATATAAATAATAGCAGGCGTATCAGATGTTTATACAATATTTTCCGCTATTACCTAAAACTACCCACAGCGCAATATTTCATTTTAATTGGTTTTATCAATTATTACAACAATAATTATTATACAAACTTCAATTTTCGTTCTTATCTAATCAATTAAACTTTTGCGTTAAATTTATTTCGAAAATAAAATGTACGTAATCTGTACTTTTTTTTTCTTTTTTCTAAAGTTACATAGCATATGTGTTTATTTTAAATTCCACAAGAAAATTTTCAAAATCAACAAATGTTAATATATTAAGTCTCCTTCCAAAAATGAATAAAGTTGATATTATATATTTATTTAAATAGAGTAACAGTAAAAATAGATGCAATAATTATTGCATCTTTATTAATACGATGAAATTGTTCTAATAATTACAGTTTGATGTAATAATTATTTCAGTCTATGCGGAAGTTAATAGACGTGTTATTGAAAGGTGTTTAAGATAGAAATCAAATGAAACTACGAATAAACGCGAACAATCGCTCAGAGATCATCCATAATACATAAGGAATTGAAGAAAGACAAATGAGAGTGGAGCGAGCTATTGTAAACTATCTTCTCGGAAATTGATTTTGTTTTTCACGTTGCTATTACGGTTATGTGGTATAACATCGACATCGTGGGAAACGAACGGTGACTTCCGGCCAGCTTTCACTTAGTTTAATTGTCCTTGTGGTCACTCCCGCCTCCTGACAATCTTGACATTGAACAAATCACACGCCTTTGTGCAGAGAAAGCAGTCGAAAACTTGTTAATCGCTTGCCAGATTGAACGTAATAGCTATGGAATAATTTTGGGGGTTGGTTTTCGAGGTTAACTTTGAACTTTAACTCAAAACGTTAACGTTATTCCCCTATTAGTTCATAAACGGTGTTCAATTAATATGTCTGGACGTTACTTAGGCATTTTCCTATTTTCCCATTTTCACATGTTTCCATTTTCCAATTTCCCAATTTTGCTATTTCTCAATTTCCCAATTTCCCAATTTTCCAAATTTCCCAATTTCCCAAATTCCCAATTACTCAATTTCTCAAGTTGTGTACTTCCATATCTCTCAATTTTCCAATTTTTCCATTTTCTTATTTTCTAATTTGCCCAGAGTGAACATTCCTAAAATTTCTAAATCTTTAATTTTCTACATTCTTAAATGATCGATTATTCAAACTTTACAAATCTGAAATTTTTTTATTTCCCAATTTCCCAATTTCCAATGCCCAGCTTCCCAATTTTCATATGTTCACAATTTGATTATTATTAAAATAATAAACTTCTTTAAATAATCCTTCTAATATTGCCTTTACAGAAATATTATTGCATTCATTTAAAATTTGCATTTGCATAATAATATTATAAAATGTTAAATAACGTATAGTTTCAGTAGAAATAAACTTCACTTTGCTATATTGAATTCTGATTTAACAATTCACTCGTTAAATATAAATCTTCGTTTATAAAATTTTTAAAACATTAATATTTATATTTCTGTAAATAATAGGTTCTCAAATATTTTAACACAAAAATGCAGTTTAATTGTTCCATCAAATTAATCGACTTTTTCCATAAATATCTTTTTTACTAGAAGTCCAAAGGAATATTTAAATTTCATTGAAAATGAAAAAAATGTTAATTGACAATTAACTTAGATTTCTGTTACTGCTTTCGTTTTTACATTTCTTACAAGCATTCTAGGTTGTAACTTTATTAGAAACACAAATTCATTTATTTATGACAACTTCCTGAACTATCCATTGCAGACGATTCTACAGTACATAATTTTCTTACTAATGATTTTAATAAATCGCAGCTATACCGTTTTTACAACTTCCTTCTGAGATTTATCTGATAATTGTAAGATTAACTATACAACATCTTACAGAATGTAACGGTTGAAAAAGTTTTGATCGTAACTGATAACTGACATGGGTCGACGAGAAATTCATTTAATGAAAAAACCTTCTGTTCTTATAAATAAAAGGAAATGCACAATATTTTCACTTCAAGGAAACTATTTTATGATTCAGAAGTATGGTATTTACAGATGCTACACATGAAGTGCAGGGAAGTGAATATTAATGATGATTTCATTACTGTGCCCTCGTTTGATAAAAACAAGGAAAAATTTTTTATGTACATTTATACTTTAAAATACATGAAACAGTCTTAAGTATATTTTACATAGAATGAAAATATACATATGTGCTATTTTTTTCCCAATTTTCCACTTTTCCAGTTTTCCAATTTCCCAATTTTTCAACTACCAAATTTTCCAATTTCCCAATTTCCCAATTTCCCCGTTTCCCAATTTCCCCGTTTCCCAATTTCCCAATTTCTCAATTTCTCAATTTCCCACTTTCCCACTTTCCCAATTACCCAATTTTTCAATTCCTCAATTTCCCAAGTTGTCTACTTTCAGATCTCTCAATTTTCCAATTTTCCAATTTCCCAGTTCCCCAATTTTCCTACTTCCAAATCTCCCAATTGCCCAATTTTTAAGTGTAGCAACTCCTAAGTTTCCCAACTCCTGAATTACCAAATTCTCGTGCATTCAAATCTCTAAATTATCAAATTTCTCACTTTCAGTTCATCAAATTATCAAATCGCTCTACATGTTGCAACTTCCAAATTCCCTCATTACCAAACTCTCCTCTTTCTACACATCCGAATGTCACACTTTTCGATTATCCACATCTCCAAATCTCCGAAGTTCCATATCTCTGAACTTCCAAATACCAATCATCCAAATCCCAAAACACCCAACCATCCCTAACTTTGAACTCAAACATCTAAAACTTAAAAACAACATATATTCTCAAATGCTACTCATCCTATCCTTGTCTAATCAATCTGCTCTACAGGAAATTACTTGAAAGACTTTAATCTACAAGTCTTTAATTTGACTCTGTAAAACGAAGCATACGAAAACTGTTATGAACATACTCTCATTACACGTGGATCAGACGGCGGATG